TGAGATCTCTCTAGGTAAGGCAACCCCAGTATCCTTTGAAATCACAGTGCCAGAATGTATTGGTTGCAGTAACAGCTAAATTTGCTCATTGTGGTTTGCTTCCAGAATGTGACTGCAAGAACCTGCAGAGAAACCCAGTGGCAAAGAGGATTGATCAGTGCAGGACCTGAGAGAAGCACCTGGAATGACAACCTTGAGCAGCTGACAGTCCTAGATTTCAAGATGCCCTTTGCTGCATCTCCAGGAGCAAGGCAAGCCAAGAAACCTTTGCTTTTGAAGGAGAAAATGCAGAAATGGGGAAGGAAGAAAAGAAGCCGCCTGAGTCCTCCCTGAGCCACAGGCAGTCCCTGAAGTGCCTTCCTGGGAATGGTAGGATGGTGAGGACTCTGCATTGCTCCCTAAGGATGTGTGGTAAGGCTGATGCAAACTTTGGAAACCCCCTGTAAGAGTTTCCTGCCTTGGATAGCTGGTGCAAGGGCAGCCTTTAGGCAGCTCAGGCATTCCCTGAGGAGAGCTCTGGCTCTGCCACATCTCTCTGAACTGTTTGAAGCCCCTTTGTTTGGGGGGGAAAACAAAGGACAAGGTGTGCAGGGAGCTTTGAGATACTTGGCATAGATGGCCATAAGTCTGTCCTTGTTGCACCAGGGGGCCTTATCCAGCTCCCCATATTGCAGGAGATATTCCCATGAAAGCCAAAAGCGATCCTCATCATTCTTTGCTGGCTTTAGGATGTGCCCTGCAGGAACTCCAGGAATTGACGGTGACGCCTCGGCCGATGGATTGGACGCCCCAGCCCGTCCGTTCCTGCCCAGCCCTTGGGTCCCTGTCAAGTGGTGGGACTCCCAGCTCCTCCAGGTGAAGTGGAAAGGGCCTTTGCAGGCCTTGCTGATCCCATTTCTAGCAGTTCAAGTTGCAGAAAAGGGACCTTGGGCTTTTTTATCTTGAGTTAGGAAAACTCCTTTGATTGGTCAGCAGAACAAACTGGATCCTTGCAAGTTCTCATCCGTGTTTGTCCCTCAGCCTGTGTTCTGGTTCAGGGCTGTAGCTGTTGGAGTCACTCAGGAGTCCAACTGTGCTTTAAATAAGGAGACCTTGTCGTAATGGCCAAGTGTCAGGAAAAAAGGGGGGATGCTGTGTGAGTTTTGAGGTGTAACGAGAGCTGATACTTTTTGCAGGGGGCTGTGGCATCGAAACTGCAGAGAGCTGAGCCAGGGGATTGACAGGGACTAACCCAGAGTGGTGAAGAAACAAGGAAGAAGGGAAGTGAGGCAGCAGCCAAGCAGCACCAAGTTCCTCTGTCAGCAGGTGAGTTGTGTTGAGGTTCCTAAGGCAGGCACTGGGGACTTTGGAGACTCCAGACAGAGAAGAGCGTGGAAGC